GGTGGCGCACGCCTGTCATCCCAGCACTCCAGAGGCTGAGGCAGGAGGATCGCTGTGAGTTCGAGACCAGCCTGGGCTACATAGTGAGTTCCGGGTCAGTCTGAACTACATAGTGAGATCCTGTCTAAAAAAAAAAAACAAAACAAACAAACAAACAAACAAACAAGTTGGTGCAATGCATGGAAGAAGAGAGATGTGATAAAGAAAAGATAGCAAAAATACTACCAGTTGTGCCTATAGGTGGTGAATAATGGAGTGTTCGCCTTACAATGCTTTCAACATTTATTTTTTTATTAGTTTTTTTTTTATTTTGTGGTGGTGGTGGTACCGGGATAGAACCCAAGGGCTTCACACTGAACTCCATTCCCAGCCCTTTTGGATCTTTTATTTTGAGAGTGTCTCACTAAATTGCTACATTTCCCAAGCTGGGCTCAAACTTGTGGTCCTCCTGCCTCAGCCTCCCAGAGTGCTGAGCTTACAGGCGAGGACCACCATAGCTGACTCAATGTTCTTATACGGCTGAAGTTTTATAGTAGGTTGTTGACTGGAGCCGTGCAAAAATAGTAAGACAGAGTAAAGTTTGGCTGGACCAGAGTTGGCCCTGTAATGTTTCTCACTCAAGGAGTGAGGTGAGTTCAAATCTTAGCACCCAGAGTCCAAAGAGACATCACTACCACCCCCACAGTTACTAAATGACTAAAAATACTTGCTGGCTGTTTGCATGACTGTTCGCAGCAACTCCCAGGCTGTGGACCACCCATCGAGATGGAGAGGTCGTCCTCCGGCTTTCGAAATACGGGCCAGGCCACGAGACCCCAGTGACCATCCCTGAACTCTTCCAGGAGTCAGTCAAGCGATTCGGTGCCTGCCCTGCCCTCGCATGGAAAAGCAGGCGGAAGTCGGAGACGCTAAGTTTCACCAAGTACTATGAGGCCTGCAGGAAGGCTGGAAGGGCCCTGATCAAGGTAATCAGGCCATTCACTCAGAGTCAGCAACACGTACACACAACTGGCACACAGCAGACCCCGAAGGGCACAAGCATTGATTGGTGAAAATCTCCCCTCTAACCCTTGACCTTTAACCACCCAGTTCCACCCCACGGGGAAGCCATCGTTACGTCTTTACATTTGTGTTTCCTTTGGGGGCTGAAGGATGTGTGTGCACCGCACATGTTTTATACACAAACACTTCTGCATACGTGGTAATGTGCATGCCCATGGTCCTGTGTCTTGCTTGTGTTTCTTAATAGAGTATCTTTGGATGTATTAGTTAGTTGCTGCTGGGTAACAAATTAGCCCAGAGTGACTTCAGATAACAACCATTTATTATCTCACAAATTCAAAGCTTAGCTGGGTGGTCCTGGCCTGCAGGGTCTCTCCTGAGATTTCATTTCAGTTCCTTCCTTTTTCCTGTCTTCCTTTCTTGGATGAAAGGTCCACTTCCCACCTTACTTACATGACCAGCTGTTGACTAGGTATCTTCTTGAGTCTCCCCCATCTGACACCACATTTCTGCGATTGGTTCCTCTCCCCTGGAAGATGGTTTCCTTTTCGCATTTCTTACTTCCTGGAACCCGATGCCCCTTCTATTTTTAAACACCCAAGCTCTAGTTAGAAATGAATTGGTCCCAGGGGCCAGGGATTTAGCTCAGTGGTTCTGTCACCTGCCTCACAGGCTCAAGAACCAGAGTTCGATCCCTGATACAAAAAAAAAAAGTATTTCCATTTTAGCCAGGCACGGTAGTGCACACCTGTAATCCCAACACTCAGGAGGCTGAGGCAGGAGGATCGCTGTGAGTTTGAGACCAGCCTGGGCTACATAGTGAGTTCCAGGTCAGTCTCAGCTACATAGCAATAAAAAAAAAAAAAAAAAAAAAAAAAAAAAAAAAAAAAAAGAAGAAGATTAGATGCAGCAGTTCCACTTCTTAGCAAGTACCCAAAAGAAGGGAGCGATCTGACACCCATACCCACCGCAGCATTATTCATGTAGCCAGAAGGGAGAAGCAACTCAAGTAACCCTTGACCAAAACCAGAATATAGCCCATCCATAAAATGGACTATTACTTAGCCACAAGACTATTACTTAGGAAGGGCGCTTGAGGTGCTACGGTGTGACTGAGCCATGCTGCTGCTCAACAAAATAAGCCGGTCACAAAAGAAAAATAACGCAGCATTCCATACCCAGGAGGCCCTTAGAGTCCTCAGACCCACAGGGCCAGGGAGGACAGTGGTGCCGGGGTTGGGGAGGGGATGGGAATCAGGGTTTCCTGGGACACAGCTCAGCTGGGAAAATGGAAAGTCCTGGAGGTGGGTGGCGGGGATGGCACACAGCCATGCAAATGTGCTTAATGCTCCTGAACTGAATACTCAGAAAATGGTGAAAAGCTGGGCCTGGTGGTGCATGCCTGTAATCCTAGCACTCAGGAGGCTGAGGCAGGAGGATCACCATGAGTGTATGGCTAGCCTGGGCTACAAAATGAGTTCAAGACCAGCCTGAACTGCTGTCTCATAAAACCATAAAATAGGGGCTGGGGATTTAGCTCAGAGGTTCTGGTGCCTGCCTTGCAAGCACAAGAACCCGAGTTCGATTCCCCCCCGCAAAAAAAACAAAAACAAAAATAAAACTATAAAAATTGATGAAGGTAAAAAAAAATTGATGAAGGTGGTAAAACCCATATTATATATATTTTATAATAGTAATAAAAATTAAAAATGGAGCTTTAAAAATTAAAATTAAAAAAAGCTTCCCACAGACACAAAAATATCACACCCCAGTGTGTGCCTTTCTTTTTTTTTTTTTTGGTACGGGGATCGAACTCGGGACCTTGCGCCTGTAAGGCAGGTGGCGGAACCTCTGAGATGAATCCCCAGCCCCGGTGTGTGCATTTTTGAATCTCTTTTCTCACATCCGATGATCAAATCACAGCCAAAAGGGAAATCATCTGTGAGTGTGTGTTTTCTGTTTGTCTTTTATTATTTCCCCCGCTTTCCAGCTGGGCTTGCAGCGTTTCCATGGTGTCGACATCCTAGGCTTCAACTCTGCGGAGTGGTTGTTTGCGGCTCTGGGCGCCATCCTGGCAGGGTAAGGCCACCGTCTCAGATCGTTGGGCTGGTTCAAGGCAAGGAGGGTTTTCAGCTGGAGTCCCAGGTTAGCAGGCCAAATACGAGGTGTGATAGGAAAATACAGTGGCTGTTTTAAGGAAAAACAACATTTTTATAGTAGAAGCCACGTGGCCGTAAGTCCCTCTCAAAAGCTGCTCTCTTGACTTCAAGCACATTCGTCCCGCCGTTCCTGCCACTTTATGAAGCCTCTGGAAGTCGTCTTTCCTTGGGAAGCAGCGAGAGAAGGGAGGAGCTTGGGAGGGAGATAAATCCGTGCAGGCCACGCCCCCGACCCCCTCCTCCACCCAGGCCCCGCCCCCTCATAGCACATTCGGCCCTGAACTCTTCAAAGGATGAATTCACGGATGAGAATCTGTAAAGACACTCACAGTCAGGAGCCATGAGAAAATGCGAATTAAAACAACAGATGCCGCCAGCACGGTTCCATGTGGAAACCAAAGACTTGAGTGTCAGGGCGTGGTGATGGCACGCAGGAGGCTGAGGCAGGAGGATCTCCATGGGTTCAAGACCAGCCTGAACTACGTAGTGACAGCCTGTCTCAAAAAACAAAGACTGTGTGTGAAGGTGGCTCAGCGGGTGTTCAAATTCCAAACCTCACACTTACTTTTTGTGTGCCCTCAAACAAGCAGCTTCATAATCCTGACCCTCTGTTTTGTTTTGTTTTTTGAGACAAGGGTCTCACTATGTACAGTAGTTCAGGCTGGCCTTGAACTTCCTATGTAGCCCAGCTTGACCTAGAAATCACTGAGGTCTTCTTGCCTCAGCCTCCTGAGTGTTAGGATTACTTACGTGCACCGCCACGCCCGGCTCTTTGTTTTTCCAGTCTATAAGTGGGATATTGTCTGTGTCACGTGAGGCACTGTCATAATGACACCCCGGGAGCTGCCACCCTTGTCATTAATCACTTTGTTACTTTCACTGTTGTTCTGCTGAGGAGGAAGCTGGTGCCAAGGCTTGAGGCTCAAGATCTGCCTGCAAACCTTTCCCCATCCCCTGACCTGCCAGGCCCTTCTCACCATGAGGTAGACAGACACACGTGCATATATGTTTTTCTTTTCCCAGGGGCCTCTGTGTCAGTATTTATGCCACCAGCTCTGCCAAATCTTGTCAGTACATCATCACTCACGCCAAGGTGAACATCTTGGTGGTTGAAAATGAGCAACAGCTACAGAAAATCCTTTCGGTAAAACCTTACCTAGCACTGCTATCCCTGGCCAGGTATAGATTTGCTCTCTCATAGATGCTCAGGATAAAATGAGGTGGTGGATTTGGGCATGGGGTCACACACCTGTCCTCTCAGCTATCTGTGAGGCTGAGACATGAGGAGCTCAAGTTTAAGGCCAGCCTAGGCAACTTAGTGAGACCCTGTCTCTGAATAAAATAAAAAGGAGTAGCAGCGCAGCTCCATGGTAGAGCATTTGCCTCTAGAGAAGAAAAAGTCCAGCATTTGGGCCCAGTACCACAAAATGAAGAAAACCATGGGGTAGTGGAGTTGGTCCTATGAAAGTATTTGGTGGAAGTTCTCCGTGACCATACTGATTTCCTGGTGATGCTATTTTTGGGTAGGAACACAGTGGGATGCAAGAGTTTAATTTCCGATTTATATTAACTTAGTTTCCTACTCAATCTCCATTGTAAAAGGCACTTGATAAACACTTCAGTACTTAATATTTATCTTATAGAAGTGTGGTTATTTCACACCTGTGCTTATTGTCATTTTCTTCGTTTCTTTCTGTTGTCTTTTAAATAAGTTTATTTTTCTCTTCTACCACTTCCTGTTTCATTTTTTCTTATTAGGTAGTTTCTTCCCTGAGCACTTGTATGTTTGCTTTGTGCTCTTGCTTCCTAGATGTATGTACTTCTTTGCATTTTAAACTTTATGTTGGATTGCAATTTTCTTTTGCTCTGTGTGGAATTGTCTGATGAGTTATCTCTGTGCATACTGATATGTGGTCCCCTCCCCTCTCTTTCTGTAGTGTTTTTGTATGGATATTGGAGAGATGTTTTCAGTGTCTCATATGCATTTGAATGAACCTCAGTTTCCATGATCAGCTTTTGGTACGAAGTTTCTGATGGGTAGGACAATACTTGGGGAAAGCTTAGGTGGCCAGATCCATCATTCATCTTTTTTTTTTGGTACTGGGGATCGAACTCGGGTCCCTGTGTTTGCAAGGCCTCATTTATCTTGACAGCAACGGTGACCATTTCCTTAATATCCTATGTCAGTGATGTGAACCTTTCAGAGTTTTCAATGATACAAACAGCCCTTAGTGGCTTGCGTGCTAGAGGCCACTACCACTGCCGTCTGTCACTGCCATGAGTCACGTATGTCTTCACTTTGTAGCATCTCCAGGGAAGAAATACATCCTCTGGTCACAGCTGGTCACAGTGTCCTGCTCTTGTCACCTCTGAAATGAGGGCACATCGTCCAAACTTAATGAAATCCTACTTAGATGGACTGAAATTCCAACTTTGTGTCACCAGGTTTCCTGTAACTCCTCATTCCTGACCTGGTTGAGGGAGAACAGACTTCTACTCTACCTCCTGCTTTCAGCTTTCTGAAGTTACTTTTATTTTTCAGCCCTGAAGGGTTGAACCCAGAGCCATTGTACTGAGCTACATCCCTGGCTCTTCTTTATTTTTAGTTTGAGACAGAGTCTCACGGAGTTGCTAACTTGCCCATGCTGGGTTTAAACTTGTAATCCTTCTGCCTCAGCCCCCTAGAATGCTGGAATTATAGATACGTGGCTTGAAATTGTTTCCTGAAGTGATCCATCTCTGTCCCCAGTACATTGTCCCTGTTTATTCTTCTTAGAGAAACACTCTGGAACTGTGGTGGCGGGTGTATGAGGACCTTCTTAGCCTGAATCCTGACTTTATCTGAGTCTTCTGCACTGGAATATGCTCCACCCCTGCCTCGGTGCTGTAGGCTCGTGGTATGTTTGATCTCTCATGCACAGAGCAGTGCCTGAACTATTTCTGTCTCCGAGTTCGCGAAAAGTGCAGTTTGTGGGGGATTCAGCGTTGCGGCTGCTCCGTCTGAAAATTTCAATCCCAGGTTCTGTCAGGCTGCACTTGGAGATCTTTGCTCTGGGGTAGGAATCATAGCTCCTCTCTGCCTGTAACCTCCCACCCTCGGACGGTTTCCTGGGCTCCTCAGAAGGAGCTCCGGACTCTGCCTGTGCCTCCAGGCCTCCTCCCCATTCTTTCTGGCCGCCTCCCTTAGCCGGCTCCAGCCATCCTGAGTTTATTACAGTTTCCAGAGACCACCAGCTACTGCTGGCTCCGGGCTTCCTAAAGGTCCGTTCCTGCCCTCTGGAAAACTCTTGCCCCAGGTTCTGTGCCGACTTAGGCCATCTTTTCTCCACCCACGACAGAGGCGTGGCCACACTCTGCAATAATGGATACCGGAAGTGCCCTTCTCATTGGGTTGGCTAGAAATGATCGAGAGCTGCCCTCCTTTCGTATGAATAGGGTATGAGGACCCCAGCAGTCACCTGATCCTCAGGCTGGGTTTGGGCGGAGGGTTCTCAAGGTGTTTGGTCCCAGCCATCTTTGAGTTGCCTGAGTCCAGCTAGAAGTTTAGCCAGACCCTGGCAGTCCAGCGCAGAGTGCCGGAAGACAGCAAGCCGGGAAGGCCTTTAGCTCAAGGTCTGCATTCAGTGTAGCAGAGTTCGGTCTGAAATATGTGGCTCTGGAGATTGCTGCTGTCCTGTGCCTTAGGGTGCTGGAGGCCACAGAGGATCCATAGTCCCCACATCAGGTCTTTTCAGGTCAGCCAAGACAAAGAGCAACCGCATACAGGATGCAGGAAGACAAGGCCTGGAACCGTTACGGAAGAGTGTTGAGTTCTGCCCGCTGCCGTCTTCCCCAAGGCCGGGTTGCCCTAAGAGTCACGAAGAACTTTCTTCCAGATTCCAGAGAGCAGGCTGGAGACCCTCAGAGCGATCGTCCTGTACAAACCGGAGCTGAAGAAGAGCACCAACAAGGTGTACTCTGTAAGTGCGGGAAGTGGGCCCTCGCAAGAGGGAAGGCATGCGCGGCAAGGAAGGTGCCTGCAGCCTCGCCAAGAAAGTGGGAAGAGAGGAAAGATAGCCAGATAGCCGGTGGGGCTGGCACAGGAAGTGGGTGGGGCCTCGCAAGGGAAGTGGGTGGGTCCATTGGAGGAGTGGGTGGGGCTTGCAAAGGAAGCGGGCGCGTCCATACAGTGGAGTGGGCGGGGCCTCCCAAGGAAGTGGGTGGAACCCTACACGAGAAGTGGGTGGGGCCTATCCGACCGCAAAGAAAAGGGAGGAGTCTTGTAAAGGAAGTGGGTAGTGCTCTGTAATGGAAGTGGGTAGGACACAGTTTTCTAGCATTAAGGGACTGATTAACGGAAATGTGTAGGTTCTGGTTATTTATTACTGCAAAACAACTCACCCTGCAATTGTTAGGTTAAAACAACAGTTATTTCAGGGCCTGGACTACACAGTGAGTTCCAGGGCAGTCTCAACTACATAGTGAGACCCTGTCTCAAAAAACCAAAAAAATTTTTTAAATTTATTTTTTATTGACAAGTAGAAATTGTGGCTATATTAGTGTACAACATATTTTGATATGTGTGTACATTGTGGGATGGCTAAGTAAAGCTATTTAACATATACATGACTGCAAATATTTATTTTTTTCTTGATGACAACCCCAAATCTACTCTGTAAGCAGTTTTAAAATATACAATTCTATTTTAGTTCAAATTTTTTTCTTATCTACAAGCCATAATGTATTATAACTTTACTTTCCGGTTTTAATAGATGTTAAGTCATCAATAATGATTTTGTCAAAACCATTGACCACTTAAAACTGTAAAAATGACTTGTAACATGAATATATATTAAATATGTTAAAAATATTTACAATGATAGTCATTTCTATTTTTAAGTAGATATTTCCGAATATCTGAAATTTTCTTTTTTCATAATTTGCTAATTTTTTTCATTAAATTTTTTCCATTTCATTTTTACATTTAGTAATATATGGATTTTCAGTTTCTTAAAATGGGAGGGTTTTCTTGGATGTCCTCTTGAAAGATTTAATCATATCTGTTATAGTATTCATGCACTGATAACCAGGCTAGCTAGTAATATGCCAATGAATTGGTAGAATTGGAAAGTAAACTTTTTGTGTAACTACAGATAATCACTTGATGAAAGAGGAATGGAAAAATTTAAATATGTAAAAATTTTATATGGGGGGCAAATTTTCCTTTTGCTTTAGTCTCTGCTGTGCCTTGAGCCTGTCTTCATTTACAATTTTGATAATCACATCACAGATTGTCTGGTATTGTGTGGCTTTTATAATATTGTATGAGATCAGTGTTTCTCGTGACTGCCGAAGTCTTTTTGTAGTGCTGTGTCCCCCACTGCAGCATGTGTCCCTAGCTCTTTGTGCTGTCTCTCTGCAACCTCTCCCGCTGGTGACTTCAAGATCCCTAGATTCATACAGTGGATTAGACGGGGACAGAGAATCTCTTAGCCGGGCATGGTGACACATCCCTGTCATCTATCCCAGCACTCAGGAGGCTGAGGCGGGAGGGTCGCAAGTGCAAGCCCAGCCTGGGCAACTTAGCGACTTAGTGAGATCCTGTCTCAGAATAAAAAATAAAGCGCCAGGGATTTAGCCTGCCTTCCAAGTGCAAGGTCCTGAATTTGATCCAAGAAGAAGGGGAGGAGGAGGAGGAGGAAGAGCGAGCAGCAGCAGCTGGGGAGAGAGGCTTGAAGGCAACAAGCTCCATTTATTTAACTGACACATAACTGCACATATTATGGGGTTCAGTGTGGGATGTCTTTTTGCTTTTGTTTGTTCTTTTTTTTTTTTTTTTTTTTTTTTT